AATTAAAAAACTGCTCAAAAATTCACAAAGAAGCAAGATTTATAAGGGACTATTTCTTGTGGCGGAACGATATTTAGCAGAAAATTCTGCAAATCTACACATTTATTAAATTAAATATCTTGGAACTTAAGCCTCACATACTTTTACTCAGAGAATATTTTCCGTTATGATACGCCTGGAATATTAAATATTGGTCTCAATTTATATTTTTATAATAAAATTTACACCTTCGGTCAACAAACATTGCCAAGAAATGAAGATATATTAAGGAAGTCGAGATAAAATTTACACAGTTTTTTGCCTGAAAATCGCATATTTTGACCAATATTTCAAAATTTACATCACTGACCCCAACTTTTTCTTTCATTATTTTAAACTACTCGATACTTTTGACCGATCAGTACTTAAGTCGTAAAAAATTTGATACAAGAAAATATTCTATTGCCTATTTAGATTTTTTATACCCCAAATATGAGACTTTTTTAGTGCAAAAAGGTCACACAATAATTTACGCGCATTAATTTGCATGATTTGTTCAATGATGAATATTATTCAAACTATTTTACGTAAAATAAGATTATGTTTATTGCCATGGTTACATCTTATAAAATATGATAACGGTTAAAGTGATTAACCAAAGAGTTACAATTTAGGTGCAAAAAGGTCAACTTAATTGTACCGTAGCTCAGTTAGATGCACACTGACCCCCCATTTTCTCTCCGATTTTGAGTCATACTATATGAGTACTTATCCAAAATATACTTCTCAAAAAATCCTTGATATAACAAATTTCACGAGTGACATACCTTAAAATTAATGAAAATTTCACATCTGGTGCATGATAAATTACTGTAGCATTTTAAAAATTGTTTATTAAAAAAATAGAAATATCTCAATTTTAGCAGTTTAAAAGAATTGAGAGCAAATGTTTTAGGTCACATATTAAGGTTACTATCAAAAGTACTGGGAAAAGAAAATAGAAGTCAATGTAACATAAATCAGACCTGAATGCATAGACTGCGTACTGGTCATAATTATTCAACTTTAATTAGACAATTCATTTGACAGCTTGGAATTATTGCTTGCGAAGTTGTCTCTCTTATCAGAGGGTTATTCCACCTTAAATTCAACAAATTCAATAGTCGATACAATGACCTTGTCAACAAATACAAACTAACATTAAGTCGAATGTTCACTGACGATTTTCATACAAATTGTTAGATTATTATTTTCTAACTGAATTGTCTACAGATTTTTCCGTTTACCCGATTATATGATACAGAGCACATGGCTGGTGTGACCGGTCGACAGGGGATGCATACTCCTTCATGGCATCTGATCCCACCTCTGATGTCTTCAGAGGTCCGTGTTTGCTCTGCTCCAAATTTGTATTGTTTTAATGGACTTTTGAGCTTGATTACTGTTCGTTATCGTCATATTTTATTATATGTTTTAAAAAGAAACAAAATTTCACGCTCACATAAAGTACAAGAGAATGGTTGAAATTAAATTCCCAGGATATCAAGTCTTATTTTGAATGTAAACAATAGATGGGAAAGATATATTATGTTTAGTATTTTGATACTTATACGTACAAATAGATTATATACGAGAGAAAAATATTTGCAGAAAAAATTCCTTGTCCATAGTCTGTGATCAACTTGTTCATGATGCACCTTAAAAACTCAGAGTGAAAAAAGACAGTACTCTGTTTGCTGTGTATTTTTAGCGACTTTCTTCCCCAAGTAAATTTGAATGGTGGTAGAAAAAAAAAATTTTATTAAATCTCGAATAATTCTATTTTTCTTTTTTCTTTTCTTTTTTTTTTTTTAGAGTCTATATATACAAAATCAAATAAATTTTATTGTAAATGTGATGAATTATAACAGTTTAAAAGTTTTATACAAGGCTTTACCTAGTAAATGATTAATTATGTATAGCAGTGACTTCTTCATATTCAAGTTTACTATTTATTATTTATTATATATTGTCATAACAAACCAACTTTATATTCGCGAGCAAGAAAATGTGATGCAAAAAAAGTGTGTGAATGTGTGTGTGTGTTGGGGGGGGGGGGGGGTTAATACGAGATTTTTTTGCCAATTCTACATTTGTATGTTTTCTTTTTTATATTCATTCCAACAATTTCGACATTTTTCAATTAATAAATAACAAATCTACACATCCTTTCATTATTTTCTTGTATTACAAAATAAAAAAGCTGTCTACAGAAATGTTAGTTTGTTGTCATTATGAGCACAAAGTTTAATTTTTAATATATAATTTCGACAAAACTTGACAAATGTTCATGCTTTATGCTTATCATAAATGCCTTTCGAAAAATATTTTACTTGGAGATGCTGAAAGCAATCAATATCAGTTCAAATTTCAGTCAGTATTTTATAAAAGTACTGTAGCCCTTTTCACAAAAAGTCTTATGACTAAGATCAAAATTTTATAACTCTAGTTTCTTTGTTGTTTATGATCTTTTTTTTTCTAAGGATTATTCACAATACATTCTTATACGTGTATTATAGAAAATAAGATTTTTTCATCTTCTGTAGCTTAGATATTTTTTTGGAAAATTGGAAAATGTTGGTCTTAGTCGTAAGATATTTTGTGAAAAGGTCCACTGTAGGTATACAATGTACGTCTTGAAAAAAAAAACTATTTAGCTGAAATATGGCTTTCTACGAGCCTGAGTCGTAGAATGTATTTATATACATGTTATGTACGATTCACTTTGAGGTACAAACTTTTATTGATAGTAACTGTTATATTTAAAGTTAACAGAATCGATGTACATAAAAAAATAAATAATCCTTAATATAGGTAGTTATAGACAAACTTGGTTTCTTTTGCTCAAATCAGCACGTACGCACGAAAAAAAATCCTCCCATCTGTTAAATAGACACAATCATTTTGACGTGATGTATCCTTACTAAGAAGAACCCTCATTAGGTCTGTATCGAGTCACAAAGACAGCATGGGCGGCCCGTCTCTGCTGTTAATTCCCCATTCAGAAGATTATTAAGAAAAACGATCACCCAGATTTAAACTGTCGACTTCAATAATACAGCCATCGTCATTTCTCTGTAGTGTTCCGGGTGGCACGTTGTTCGATGTAGATCCGATGGTGTCGGGTAGATTCGACAGTTCTGGAGAGAGATGAGCGATGACTTCCAGGAGTCTCTCAGAACCGTCAGGTACCTTTATACCGTGATGTGGGTGGAGTTAATTTTAGAGAGATAAAATCAATTATTGGAATCATTTACTACTCGAATTAATTAGGACAGCCCGAAAAGTTAAGCGCACCGGGCTTTTTCCCCAACAAACTAAATAAAGTGGTTATGGAATATCGGTCATTTCTAAAAACTATTCGAATCGTTTTATTGGCAAATGTAGTTAAGTACCCATTCTTGAACTGAAGCTGATCATGCAGTTTAAAACGACTTTTTAATTTAATAAAACTGTTATATAAAATAAATCCATTTTCTCTATTCAAAAAAAAAAACAAACAAAAAAACAAACAAACAAACAAACAAAACTGTATTAGTGTCCCTTTTGGAAATGGTCACATATGTTCACATGTCAGCTAGCGGTATGAAGGGGGGAGGGGGGTAGACTAGCGAGGGGGGAGTAAGTAATGGTGATTATTGTTCACAATACTTCATTGTCTTTGAACATATTTAAGGGGGGGGGGATAAAGGGCTGGTACCTTATATTGAAAATAAAATGAAATAAAACTCAGTATTTACGCCTTAATACTAATTTATATATTTCTCAACCCCCACCCCCAAAAAGTTGTTCATCGGTATTTAGAGGGTCCTTCGTCAATAAATATTCCGCGCCGGTGTTTTCTAACGTATCTCTAGAATGCTGAATGGATCATTATTGTCTTCATAGACATATCCCCGAATTTAGCCAAAATCCTCCCTCTCCCTGTCCGTCATCTAGAGCTTGTGCACAGCTGTGTGTTAGCGTGAAACGGGAAGGGAGAAAATGCGACAGAGCAGACCAGGGTTCGAACCAAGGCTCCTTTAACTCTAAACAGTTGCTATAAATCAGTTGAGCTATATGGACACCTGCAAACGAATCTGCTTGCTGCCACATTAAACTTGATGTTTTTACCCCAGATCGAAGACCTGCTGCCTAATTTGTTTTGTCCCTGGCAGAACTTTAACCTGCAAATCCAGGGTTGGTCAGGGGCACCAGGTGTAAGAGGAAGAGAGAAAATGCGACGGACTAGACCAGCCCCCCCCCCCCCCCTCCGACCTCAGACCACAGACACTTGTTTCTGTAATAATTTTGATTAACCCCTAGTATGTTATTATACCATAACGGTACCAGATAGCATTATTGTATTTTTTACAGAGACGAAGACTGACGGACCTGTGTTTTACCGTGCTTTACCAGTCTGCCAAATGAGATGTCTGACCACTGGCAAACGAATCTACCTGACTGCAACAACTTGAAAAATCGATGTAGCGTGTCATTTATTTCATTCCTTCTATTTATATCAAGTACTTTTTCCCTAGACATTTACCTTTTTTAATGCGAAAAAAAACCCTTTAGATCAACTAGATCGATGAGTCAAGAAAACTAAATTGAATTAGATCAATTTATTTAAACAACATTAAAGCATTTCATGGCTGAAATTGGCAGCTCTGATCAGGGACATATATAGGTCCCTGACATCTCACTATCTGTTCGGGTTCGACACTTTTCGTTTTGTAACAAATAATCCGAAATAAATTCTTTTGAATTCTTATTGACGCGTGCTAATTAGCGCAAAGATATTTTTCGTGTGATGCATGACAAATTTCTAACATTTCCTTTCGTATTTAATATATTACAACCATAAATAAACATAATTACTATGCACGTTATAAAAGAAATGAAACAAATATAAAGAAAAGTCGAAGCAGGGGTATTCTAAGAAACTCAGTTCTACATTTTCTTCTCTGCGTCTTTTAGTATGAACTTAATCTTGGTCAACGTGATGGCAGAGAAAACTCTACAGGATCTAGAGCGATTGACTGAGATTATCTTGGTAACAACATTGGTGAACATATTCTGTTTGGAATGAATGAAACTCTTGTCCTTTCCTATTTGTTCATGTGAAAATAAAGTTTGGTATTTGTGAAATCGCTAAATTATATCAGACACAAAGTTGTAAACACAGAGATATCCTGGGATAGAGATGGCAGAGAAAATTCTACAGGAACTTGAAAGCGCCTCACAGATAGCTCTGGTAAAAATATTTATTTGTACTTGTATATCTGATGAAGAGAGATGATAATGGGCATAACGGGTATATGGGTTAACCCGGTTTAACGAAATAGTCAAATTCTGGATTCCATAAATAATTTCATTCAAGAAGCTGAACACCATTAAATAGACATTATCCAGTTAAATCTCATAACAATGCACAGCACTGTTAAGACTACATTTCTGTGAAATCATGCCAAAATAACAATTCTCCATAATACCACAGGTTGTAAATAGCTTTTTTAACCTGAGGGGGCATTTGGGACCCTATTCTCTATTGAGAAGTTGATGGCTCGTTTTAATACTCCCCCTCAACTTCTCTATGAAAGGCCTAATAAAAGCAGTTCAGAAATTGACTAAATGAAGAACCAAACGGACCCCACTTTGATCAATGTTTTAGGTCTGATGTGATATCATAGACATAGTCTTGATGCACAGATGTTATTCTGCCATAGAAATGCGAATAACAATTCTTCTGACTTAAAACATGTTTTTAATGATAGAACACTTACTTGCAATATCTGTGTCGCCGGATTCATTTATTCATTCAAAACTGCGTTTGAACCCCGGTTGACCTCTAAAAAAAGTCTAAAACTATTCCTCCGGATAACTATTTAACACTGGAACATTTAATCCAATTTATCCGGAGAAAAAGTTTTAGACTTTTTTAGAGATCAACCGGGTTAAAATGCAGTTTTGAATGAATAAACAAATCCGGTGACACAGATATCGCAAGTAAGTGTTCTACCGTGATAAATGCTTTTAAGTCAGCACAATGGGTATTTTTAATCGCATTTCCATTGCAAAACAACATATGTGCATCCAAAATATGTCTTTGATAATGTATCAATCCGAAAACATCGATCGAAGTGGGACCCGGTTTGGTTCTTCATTTAGTCAATTTCTGAACTGCTTTTATTAGGCCTTTCGTAGAGAAGTCGAGGGGGAGTATTAAAATGAGCCATCAACTTTTTAATAGAGAATAGTGGGACCCTAACTTTACAAAGTTAAATACAAACCCACACTGATATTATGGGAGCCATGATTTCTGTCCAACAAGTAATAAAAATTTCTTGATCTTTTCCTATAATAATCTCTGAGAAGTTTTCTTTGCTTTCCACAGTCTTTCATTTATCTGTGGATTTCAATACCACTTGTATTAAATTCCACATTTTCTTTCATTTTTAGACCCCACTTACTTATAACACTTCTGTGATTCAGGGTAAACAAAACATTCTGTAGGAAGGAAATAGTAAAAACAAAAGTGCATTTAATAGTAGAAGCAATCCTTTTTTACTTACAATAGATTATTTTCAGATTCTATCTGTGGGCGACCAACTTTTACACTCTTGAGTATGTTATCACTGACATGGAAAGAATTTTTTCGGGTAACTTACTCAAAAGTTGATTGCCCACAGACAGAATCTGAAAGCAAGACAATACAAACCAAAAAAGCAATTTAAGAAATAAAAAAAGGTAAGGAAATACTGATGTGTGGGTTAGGAAGGTTTGTTCCCCCTGGCCAGATAGCTCAGTAGAGCATCTGCCAAGAGTCGAGACTTCAAATCCTGGTCTTGTCTCTCTCTCACTTTTTTAACCTTCCTGTTGTATTTGGCATTGCCCTGGAAGTGACAGGTGAATGACTTCCCAGGGAAGAGTCTGGGTTGGTGTCCTAGGGGGTAAAGACATTTAAGGAGGGAGAAATTTGTCAGTCAGGCAGATTCATTTGCCGGTGGCCAGATAGCTCAGGCCATCTTTAAAAAATTGTTTGGTTGCCCTCTCCTGACCGACTGGCTAAAAATGACCCAACTCAAAACTTTTTTTAACCTCTAGGAAACAATAATTTTTTTCCTTTTATTTCCTGAATTTTCTCATTTTGTCAATACGTTTGTTGAATTTTTTTCTGCGAAAAAAAAATTTCACACCTACCTACCAACCCAGTTTTTTAACCCTGAGTCGGGAGAGGGCAAGCAAACATTATTTTAAAGATGGCCTTAGTCAGAGCACTTGTATAGAGTGCAGGGGACCAGGTTTGAATTCTTTCCTGAAACATTCGATTAAAAATATTTGTATACTCATTAGTCTAAGACTAAAAAAAGCTGAATTTTTGTGCAGTGATATTTTTTAAAATTAATTTTTGTCAAGTTACAGTGGCAATTTTATGTTATATTGCCAAAAATATTTTGAAATGAAGGTAAGCATAAGATAAAAAAAATTGATTTCTTTCTTTATGCAGGCACCACCTGATATTGTGACATCAGAACAGCGCCACGCTGCCGAGGCTGTTATTCTTGAATTCCGTAAAACCAAGCTTCCCTACAACCTATGCAAGTTCATCCTAGGTCTGTTGATATCACATATACTGGTGTTATTAGGGCCCCGCTCTGCGGGTGCCCTATAGTGATCAGTCTGTCCGTCTGTCCGTCCGAGATCTCTTGTCCGGAGCATATCTTCTCTCTCCTTGGCCCAATCTGGTTCATACATCACCCACAGAGTGTCTTTGGGTAAAGGGTGTGCAGTGACCTTGAACCATGTTTCTAGGTCTAAGGTTAAGGTCATAGCAGAATTATATGAAAAGTCCTTGTCCAGAGCATAACTTCTCTTCCCTTGGTCCAATGTGGCTCATACTTCACTCACTGAGTGCCACTTGTCAGTGGATGTGCAGTGACCTTGAACGAAGTTTCTAGGTCAAGGGTCAATTTCAAAAATAGCCTCTCTGTTTTAAATCTTTGTTCGGTGCATAATTTCTTTCCCTTAAGTCCAGTCAGCCTCAAACCTTACCAATTAACTTAGGGTATGGATCATTTGTGATTTTCCTTCCATATTTCTGATAGAAGATATGCAACAATTTTCATAGAGGATATGCAGCATTCGTGATTTTTGTGCCTTTTTTGATGGAAGGTGTTGAGCACTCGTGATTTTCGTGCCATTTTTTTATTATAACGAGGATAACATAGAAGTTCTTTAAACTCAAACAACACGTCCCTTTATAGTACACAAAGGTTCCTCTTCAAAATAAACTCTTTTCAGCTACCTTACATTTCCATGTTCATTGCTGAAAGCGGGGCCTTTGAGATGGCCACCATCTCAATGACATCTAGTTCCAAATTTGTGTTGTCTATTGTTTTATTATTTTTCATATTGATCAAGGTCCTTTTAAATGGATATATGTAGGATGTATTAATATTTAATGGATGTTGAAATTTGTTACCATATCATTATGAGCTATTTCAAAAATGAAAGCTAGTAGCATTATTGTTACTTGATATTAAGTAAACTGTTGCACAGCCCAGTCAATAACAATCACTTACAATGCTGTAATATAAGCTATTTCATATATAGACAAATTATAGATAATATAAATGTATATAGACTTTATCATGGAAATTTGATATATACATGTATATAGAATATGTTGCAGAAACATGAAATTAAGTCTTACACATGATATCTTCATATTATAAATTTTTTGATAGACTGGACAACCATAAGTATTTCAAAACATGTCGTTATTTTACATTAAACAGTACTGTTGTATTAAACAGTAACCTTGTATTAAACAGTACTTCTGTATTCTTTTTAAAACAGAGAACAGTAAGTGTGACTATGTCTTGTTCCAAGCAGCTACAACCATCAAAGAGAGTGTGATCAGAGAATGGACACTGCTGGAAGCCATGGATATAGAATCACTTAGATCATTTCTTCTTAGATTTATCACACAACATATCACGTAAGTAACTCTGTGGTGAGATAGCTTGGTATGGACGTAAGCCAAAGAAACCAATTATATGTCTTAGAAATACTATAAATTTATTGTATTTAGCATGTACAATATTTGGCAGAAATTGATTTATTAATAAGTTAGCATAGAATTGATTTAGCAATTTCTGAATGTGCTAGATAAATATATATATATGTAAAGACGTTTAGCTGTGTACTTGATTTAGCTGATGCTGCTTTCTCCCAAAAGTGATAAAAAGCATACACAACCAAATGTAATACGTTTACAGTATTTTCAGTGTTTTATACGAAGTTTTCACACATACACTAAATTTCATAGTAAAGCACTATTTCAATCCTTTGTGAACCAAGTTTTGCATTGTTAGTAATTGACCAATTGACATAGATATATTTGAATGAATATGATTTTTTTATTTTAAGGTTGAAGAGCTATGTGAGAGAACAGATACTACAGACTGTTGCCGTTATTCTGAAGCGAGGAGAGGTGGATGTTAAAGGGGCAAGCAGAGACAACATGTTCCAGGACATTACCAATCTAGTCAGCAGTGGAAATGTTACTATGGTAGATAAGATGCACAATCTAGTAAATGTGCATTTGTAAAATGATTGGATATGACTAAACATGCTAAATGTAAATTAGTAGGGTGAAACAATACACCTCCTTCAGGAAACGATACGTACCATATAATTTTGTCTTGGTACAGTTATTTTTGATACAATAAATTTTGATAGCAGAAAACGAATTCAACTTTGCTATATGTTTTGGTTTACTAAGTCCAGTCACTTAATCTAAGTGCAAATTGACTATAAGAAATTGATTACAATGAATTGACTGTTAAAAATTATTATACAAACTATCAGTCCTCAAAAATTTATGTTTTACAGTTTAATATGCTGAGTAGCATATTATAACCTATGCCAATTCTGACAAAATAAAGATTCCAACCAAAAAATGGAGATTTTGTACCGTGTATCAAACCGAGAAAAAATACTTCATTGAATTTATATAGCAGTGAAACATTTCTTCCCTATGAATCAACATTGATTATACCTATGTTAAATCTTATTTCAGCAACTAGTGGCTTGTTCTATGTTGACGGCTCTTCTCAATGAGTTTTCTAGTTCCAGCAGAACCAGCAATGTGGGATTTACCTGGGAATTTCATTCTAAGTGCAAGAAGGCGTTTGAGGTCACTAGCAACATTCTTTTAAAAAATTATTGGAATCATGGAATATTTAAGTCAACTGTTTTCATTAAGTTATCTCCCTTTGGACTCCAAAATCTAAGTTATCCTCTTGTCATAAAATTTTTCAATCATTTTTGTGAAAAAGAATTGAAGACAGATATTAGTTTGTTGTATTACAGGAGAATGACTTGAAGAGAGTGTTTCTGTTTGCCCTGCAAGTTTTGTATGAGATTGAGAGACAACCTAGTCCTTTGAGTCGTGAGACAACAGCCGTATTGAACCGTCTCCTATCAATCACAGATAGTGTTCTATGCTGGGAGTTCACTCCAAAGCTCAGTAAGTTTTGTCAAACCGAAAACAAGGTCTGATCACTGTGTAAGAGAATTCCCGTAATAAATAAAAGTGAAAAAAAATTCTTTAAAAAGAAAAAAAATTATATACTATATGAAAAAGTACAAGCAATTTGTACAGGTAACATTTTTTATACATTAATTTTACAGGTTATAGGCGGCATGTCGGGTCCTTTGAAATGAATGAAAATGTATCACTTAAACCGGACGAGTCCTGGAGAACCACATTACTGGACAAAAACATGCTGCAGTTGTTCTTTAATGTAAGCACATTAATGCAATTACACATCATTTCATTAGTTATGGCTGATATAATGACTTTTCTATGTTGATGTTTTTGACCTTGATTTTTGCAATTTGTGTAATGATTCATTGAGAAAAGATGTTCATTGTATTAATTATTTTGTTTCAGATCCACAAAAAAGTCCGTCATAACTCAGATATGTCCCATCATTCCATAACCTGTCTATCTCAGCTGGCCTCACTTAATGGGATCATTTTCCCAGATGACAAGGCTCGACTGGAATACCTTACAGCATACATCAGTGGCTTTCTAGAGCTCTTGTCCTGGTAAACATAAAGAAGGAACTTTTATTTTAACGTCCCCCCACTTTAAGACATTAACTCTAAAGCTGTGTATTTTACTACTCTATTTATTTTGAATTTCTGTAGCATAATGAAATTGAATTCTCACAATTTTTTGCATATAAAATGTCTTTCCAACAATGGTTTGTGAGTCTTTCATTAGAAGTTTAATAAGAGATACCATTATACACAATATGACAGTGAGTTATCTCTCTTGATTTTGTTATTTTTAGTATTGACCTACAGGATTATGAAAACCTGGGTGTGGCCAGTACCTTTAAGAACCTCATTCTGATGTTTCCCATTTCCCTCCTGGAGGCCCTCCCACGGGAACTACTGACCTCCTTCATCAATCACATGACCCGCCTCACATGTGATGTCGGGAAAAACGCTGCTATGGAGGAGGCGGTAAGATGTTTATGTATCTGTACAGGTGTGATTTAGAAAAAATCAAAATGTGTGACATGCTTAGATAGATATAATGCATGTTGTGTTCTGATATTAAGCTGTTTTTAATCAGTAGTCTTTCTGTTATTAGAGGTAAAATATAATAAATCTTTGCTGCGGGTACTGTACTAAGTATTTTACTTTTAGTTACCACCGGTACATATTTCGACCATTAGTTTTAAAAAATATCAGGCAGGTTTGTCACTGGATGAAAAAATAATGGCAAAAGTTTAAGACGATGCATTTTTTTAATGTAAAAAAAATGCTTTTGGATTCTATAAAGGATCTGACTTTACTTAGAAATTTGAAAAATTAAGAAAATGAAAAATATTTGCATTTACACAAAAGAGACACAATAGAAATAAGGGTAAATGGTTTATAATGTTACTGTAACTGCATTATATGCATTACACTAATTACAGCTGCACAAGGATGACACAATCTACATGGAGGCCTATGAGAAGATGCTGGAGACCTGGATGGACCTGGTCACTAACATGAAGGACCTCCCTATGGAAGTATTGTACCCCCAGTCCCAGGAAGTCTTCAACATCTACGTACAGTGTCACATCAGTGCCCCAGAGGGAACCAGAATACAGGTGTGTCAAATTTTATCACAGTAATCAGGTCACTCACAAAGTACAGTCAAACCTCGTTATCTCGAAAACTCAATTGGGCCAAGAAAAAAATTTGAGATATCAAGGGGTTCAAGGTTCAAGAGGGTTCAAGATATCGAGGGTAAAATACTTAACAAATCCAGGGTTAGGACTTCCAAATCACTTCAACATATCTCTGGTATTCTAGATGTCCATGTTTGAGATACCCAAGTTTTACTGTAGTTTGTACCCGACATGTTCACTTCTTCAGCGAATGTCATTGATTGTGATGATGTAGGAATCCACTAAACCATAATCAAATTTTTGTTTATGAAATTGAAACATTTGATATAAGTGCATTTGCATACTGTATACAGGGTTGCATTGACCCATGTTATTTTCGCCCTTTCACACTTGCAAAAATTTTGCCTTGCTCTAAATTCACCAAGACATAGTTATGTTTAAGACATAATGCTGTTTTCTTTGAATTTGCCGTGTTTTAAATTTGCTCATTCCCAAAGAGAGGGAAAGGGGCAAAAATAATATGGGAGTAAAAATCTTCCTGTGTACAGTATTTAGATTTAGTAGAATGTATTGTATATGTGAGCATGATTCTATGGAAAGAACAAACTGTTTATAACAGAATGGGATGGATGCTTACACTGATGCTGATGAAGTCGATGAGATCGAAGAGGATGACAGAGAGAGATTTGCTGATCAGCTGTCTAGTATAGGAATTCTGGGAAGGCTTGCACCAGAACATTGTGTTCCACTACTAGCAAAGTAAGTAAAGTTATAAGTACTATGCACTTGTCTCAGACATCAATATATTGATACCAGGGATCTGTCAAAGTGAGTCATGGTTCAAACTTTATTATTAATTACTTTCAACTTTGATATCATTAACTCTTAGACATCATAAAGTTTTTAACAGCCCTGTTCTCCTTTTAGATTTGGGGGTTCAATCTCTTCACAAATTGAGTCTCAACTAAATAGTTATTCTGATTGCAAGGAATTACTGAGCAGGTGGCATTTGTATAGCAGCAGTTTATGTATCGGACAGTCCCTGTGTTAATAGTGTGTACAGTTTGCTTATGTAATGGTTTGGGCTGTAGATATTGGCCTGGGTAGCGCAGTGGTTAGAGCACCTGACTAGTGATGTAGGGGTCCCAGGTTCAATTCCCGGTCCAGCCATACATTTTCTCCTTTCCTGTTACACTTATACCAATGAAGAAAATGTTCAAGAAATCTGCTTTATTTTCAGAATCCTTGAGAACAGGGTCAGTAGATTACATGGACACCTCCATAGGTTACAACAGCAGTCAGCCGCCACCCAGAACTGTCTTCTAGATGCCTCCCATCTCAACTCGCTGTATGAGGATCTACACTGGATTGTTCTTATCTCGAGTGAGTTTGTTACCAAGGAGAGTTTTAATAACTTTTTCTGCATAGTTTAAACATACAAATGTATGGTCAGGTCAAGCACAGAAATCTAATGTTAATATAAAGTCCATATGACAGATTCTTGTCAAATTTTCTTGCTTATTGCTTATGAGATAAAAAATTGGCAACAATTCAGAAGTAGAAAGGAAAGAAAGAAGGAACAATATGTTGACTAAGATTATTGGCAATTATATGTTTTTGAACACTCTTACCATTTAAGATATGATATTTTGTTTACAGCCCATGTATTGACGGAGGAGTGTGAAGGAGAAACTCCCATGATTCCCTCTGATATTATGGAGTACTCGATTTGCCAAACCAAGAAAACAGATCTGTCCACCACAATGAAGGTATTGGCTTCCCCTGGTCAGTCTATTGAGAGCATTCCAGGGAGTGACATCTCCACAGATCCAGTGATTAGGTAAGGCTACTCTTTGGTTGTGAATATTTTTTTTCAATGTAAAGTTGAATCATTTAATTTCTATAAAATAATTGATTCTGATTGGATAAAAAATTCTTTTGATAACTGCATCAATAGAATTTGGAGTTCACTTGCTCTTAACAGCCGGAACTACTTTGGCTGTCTTTACATGTATATTTCCCGCTTCCAGAAGTTCATGAAGGAACAATTAAATACTTTTTCTCTCTAATAGATATTTTCCTGAATTTTGAAACTTGTCCGTTACGTTCCTGACTTATTTTCTACTTTTGTTTCTTTTTGAATTATCCCCCTTTGCTAAACAAATTGGATCGTCTGCATGACAACAATACAGTAATGGGAAAGAAGGAAAGAAATCAGCATACCTATGTTAATTTTTTGTCTTTGAGATAACTGGTATGAACAATAGAACTGTGAAGAAATGTTTTTATGCTATCAAAGCGGGGAGATGCCGTTAATCTGTTATTTCTTAGGAATCGAATGATCGAGAAAAACGACATTGCATGAATGAGGACGGAATTCTTTCAGTGTTAAACAGTAGGCAACAGACTCTTTCAGATTTTACAGCATGGACAGGTTGTGATACATATTTATATGTTCAGTTTGATATTCAGATGAAGAGATGTGCAATTGAAATCTAAAATTTCTGTGACCTATAGAAAGAGTTGTTAGGATATCTGAGTAGCATCCCTTTAAATACGAACCTAGATAGCTTACCGGGGAAAATATACCCATTGGGATATAGCAAAAAATTAATAACACAACAGGTAAGTTTTTTGTGTTAAAGAACTGTTAATTATTGTTAGAAAAGGTTGGTAGTGACACGACAATATTTGAGAACGTTGTTTCTTCGTTAGGCCTATAGCTTAGCCATTTTGAATTTCAGCAACATTGTTGTGATATATTCCTACGCACTGTTTTTGATGCGTAAATTTAATAGTAAACTGAAGGAAAGTTTCATTTTATTATTTTGAAATCATAATTAAATGATAAGAAATGAAAGTAATATTTTTTTCTTTGACCGACGTATCAAAGAAAAAATTTGGAAGAAAACGTTTTCATCAATGCGCTACGTGCATTGATGACGTTTTCCGTCCAATTTTTTCTTTGATACGTCGGTCAAAGAAAAAAATATAACATTCATTTCTTAAGGAAAATTACTTAGAGATTTCATGGATATATCATGTCATAGAATTTCTAACTCAGCAATATCTTTTCAGCTAATTGTTTTTAAAGTATGTCTCCTTGAAGAGAACTTTTGATTGCATTTATATTTATTCTCCTTATATATTAAAATTATTTTCCATGAGAATTATCATTGGTATATCCCCAGGTTGATATCGGCAGTATTCCGCTTGTGTGAGGTGGAGAAACAAGCCATTAATGCCAAAATGAGTCATGTCCTTAGTCCCCAGGTAGGAAGTTCTGTCATGTGTTTCCTCAGGAGGTGGGCCAGGGCTTATCTACTGCCAGACGAGACCTACTACACAAATGTGAGTACTTTTAAGATCATTAAAAAAAACTCATTTGATAAAAAGAAAGCATGCTATTCTTCAATTACCTACTTTGAGAATATCAATTCAGATTTCAGAATTTTTTGTCAGCAAATAGTTTTCTGGGAGTGTTGTATGACAGCATAAGATTTGACTGAATATATACTTAAATGTACGTGTACATGTTAGGTTTTTATCCATTTTACGGAGTTTTCCTCTGCTAATCATTATTTTCATTGATAGGTAAGCCCTGCCTTGTTTTCAGCCTTTGGGAGGGACACAGATGGTGCTCAATGGACTGTGTCATTTTTGTTGGACAAGATAATCTCCAACATAGCTATCTGGACAGCAGAAGAGGCGTTAGTGGAGGACACACTTCAGTTCCTTGTGTCATTAGTAGAACAACGACAAAAGTAAGAGTTGTGTCTTACTGGATATATTACATTATGACGTTGTCAAGAGCAGTACAACTCTCTAAGCCAGTAAATCCTCTTTATTCGCCATGAAATCCTGAAAATACATGATTTGATAAACTGCGAATGAATGCAGTAGTCAAGTGTAGGGTACTGATGATGATTCTGTTTGGTATCATATTGCAGAAATTAAATCAGAACTGTGATAATAATTTGATTATGCATTGATTTCAGAGCTAGATATCTAACAAAATGTGAACTCTTATGGAACATTGCCAAACAAGAAGCCAATCACCAGCCTCCTCTTAGTCTGCTGCCATCTAAACCCAGACGTAGTTTGTTAAAAGCTCTAGTATTGGCTGGATCTGGAGTAGAAGAAGACACTCTTAGGGAAGGCTACTGGAATTGTGTAAGTTGACTTCTCAGGATAAATAATAGATGACATCATGTTGAAATATTGCACACAGTGCCCTACCACCATAAATATTTATCCAGATTTTTTTTTAAACAGAAATATAGATTATCTCTCAGTTTTTTGACTTGGTTAATGATTAAGATATCAGTTGGATATTTTATAGTAAGATGACATGACTTTACAGGTTCTGAAGTCCCTTCATGACAGATTTCACCACCTCTTATCTCAGGAAAATTTCGCCAGGGTGGCCCAAGTAGTAGGTGTGAAAACAGCCTTGATCACTATGTTGGAGTCCCTGTGTGGGGTTGCTGAAGGGACTCGTATTGACAATCTACAACGACTTTTCACATTTTTCTTACCCATCTTGCAGGAGTGTGTCAGAATTCTAGGTATGTCTGACATAAAACTTAGGATTTAGGATTAAGTCACCTCATTGGTACAGTTACAGTGTCGTTGATGAAAAATGATGTTAGAGTCGAGTCATTTGGGGGGATTCAGTTTAAGGATTGGTAGTTTAGGGAGGGGCAGTATTTATGGGTACTAAGCTCTTTATTTATTTTACAGATACATATCACAACTGTGAGGATGTAGTGCCTTTAGTGATTGAGTTGTTCAATGAAGTTGTCAACAAACAGCTGTGTTATCTAGGGGAGGTAAGCAGTACTGTCTCAATTAGACAGTATTTTATTTCTTTGTATCTGCATTTTCAAAAATTCTGACAATGTTTCTAGAAATGATTTACACAAAAATCCCTATGTTGCTACTTTTCATTATTTATGTCTTTCAGTCTGACTCCAGAAAACTGTATGAGTTGTGTTTGACAGCAATACAAATGTATTCCAAACACAATGCAGGTAAGCAAATGACCCTCATAATAATGTAAGAATATTATATTCTTAAATTTTAAGTTATTTACTCGTAGTAAAAATTCAATCAAAGCAAATTTTAAAGTCTCTAGTTTTAATTTCATCATGAAACAAGATACAGATTAATCTTAATTGAATTGTTCTTGTGTATATTTGTAGGTCGTCGTACTGTGAGCGATGAGGAAGAAGAAGATAGGTACAATGATATTCTCCTTACAATGGAACTATTGACCAACCTTCTGTCCAAAGACTTCATCGACTTCAGTGACCCAGGTCTGTATACCTCAAAAAAAGTGATCAAAAATTTCTAGCAAGGGCAAGAGACATGTAGTTTAGCTTAATATTAATGATCAGTTAAATTTTGGGCAGACGTGTTCAATAAGAGCTGGGATTAAGACACAGCTTGAAAATGAAGTCAATGAGATTTATGAGTTAAACACAGTTTCAATGAATCAAATCTGTGTACAGATGTTGACATTTAACTTGAGTGTACATTAAACATAATACTGAACAACTAGTGATATACAAAGAATAAATACTGCATCTTCAACTTTGTATTTTAATGTACAGTGAAACTTGTCTAATCCTGATGTTGTAAAATTCGAAATCTTGTCTAATACGGTGTAAACTTTAAGTCTTTTTCAGTAAAATGTTGTCTAATCCGGAATGTTGTCTAATATGGCCAATTTCTTTGGAACAAGTGGTGTCCGGATTAGACAAGTTTTACTGTATTTATTTTCCTTATTTAGCAGAGGAAGTGTTCCCTCAGAACGGAGAACAAGTCTCAGCAGCAGACGTCGTGTTGTTTGGTCTGAACACAATCATTCCATTGATGAATGAGGATTTACTAGCAGTATGTGTCATGTTTTAACAACATCAAAAAGAAAAAAATTACAAAACTGTTTTTACTGAAATATTGAAGTTTCCATTTCAAACAGTTATATGATATTCTAAACATTCTTAAAAAAAAAAAAACTCTAAATTTCCTCCTATTTAACTGCCCATCATTTGAATTTTTGTGTATCTTAGTTTCCAGCTTTATAAAATAAGTACATGTATTTTAAACTGTTGTGCCCTTCTTTCAAATTCTTGTGGTTTTTTGCAGTTCCCGACTCTGTGTGCACAGTATTTTAAACTGGTGACCTTCCTAGCTGAGATTCACCCTGATAAGTTTTCCTCCCTACCAGAGAACCTGTTAAACAGTCTGATGGCCTCAGTAGAATTAGGACTGTCAAGGTGACAAAACTGAAAGCTGTCTGATTTATTATTCATACTTACGTTCAGAAACTCAAAAGTTGTATCTTGATTGTTAACTTGAGAGTATTATTGATTAAAATATATTCAGTTTTGGAGGAGTCTGAGAGTAAAATCAAACCTGCTGCAGCCCCATCTGCCTGCAGAGGCAATGTTTCTATTTGTATTCTCTTGCTATCCATCTACAGTATAATGACTGGTTCAAAGACTCTGTTCTATATATATATATATATCGTAGAAAATCTTACTTATAAGCTGCATGTTTGGAATCAGTATTGATTTGGAATGTTTGTAATATTTTATGCAAACATTTACAATGTTAACTTGTAATTTGTCCTATTTATTTGCTTTATTCAAATTAATCTGAAGTCAAAATGAGTTGTTGTTGTTGTTACAGGTTGTTTGGTTAAATTACATCAAAACTTTATCTCTTAAAAAAGTTAGAGAATAGGAATTTATCTAGAGTGTTTAATACTCTATATAAATGATAAAATTGTACTTACATTTGAATTTGCAGGTATTCTTCAGAATAATTAATTTAGTTTCCATTTTATTCTTTAGATATGGCTCAGACATCAGTAGAATGAGTTTAGAGATCATCACATCTTTAGCATCTCATGTGTTTCAAACCAACCAATCAGAATCCATCTTAAATTCTCACCTGGCAAACTTTCTCAAAGTGAGTATATGACATAAATCAAAAAAGCTTAACATTTTTCTGTTTTATCCACTCAAATTCATGTTACAATACTGTACGTACCTGTATATTGGGACAATTAGAGAATTGTCACTGGTACTTTTAACAGGCATAAAGAAAAGGAAAGGCATACAATGTAAGATTGAATGGCAGTATTTATAAAACAATGCAACTGTATGAAATATAAACAAGTTTATGTTCAATTCATAATTTCTTAAAACTATACTCGCTCACAAATTTACTTCAGATAGAGTGCTGCCTTCCATAAAACAATGTCTGATCATTATCATGCTTTGTAAATGAAGTACATAGCGTGTAGAATTGTTAATATACATGTAGTTGTAAATCAGGCATTCAGTATAATGTATTATCTTGCACAATTTCTATAAAACATGGCATACTTGCTGCAATCTAACAAGGCTAGAATGTATTGGATGTTAAGAATTATCAAGAAGATGTACATGTATGTATTTTGTGTTTTATCTGTTCAAATAATTATTATTATTGTTTGTTTTTTTTTTTTTGGAAAAGCTTATATCACATTTGTTTTGGTGATTTTGTGTCTTAAATATAGGTACATTTGAACTTCAGTGCCTCTGAACATAGATATCTCGAATACCATAGATATATCAAAAGTCAAATTGGAGTCCTAACTCCTAATTACTTTTTCTAAATTTTATGTCTGTATTATGTATTTATCTTAATTTCTCAAACCCATGGATAGCTCCAAGGTTTTTTTCATCCTACCAAGTTAGAGATAACAAGATGTGACTGAACATGTACTTTAAAAGCCCCCCCCCCCCCCACTCTATTTAATCTGTCACTCTTGCTGACAGTATAAAATGTAAGCTAAGAATTGATGGATGACATGAAAACTGGAAAGCATATATTAAATTCCACCTTGCATTCAGAAATATCAAAGGGATTCCAAACTTTTATTTATTTAGTTCCCTGCAGCTTGCTGAAAGAGTCGTATACTTTTGTTTAATTATGTTTTTCCTTGTTCTGTTTACAGCAAGTGTTTAACATGCTGCTGTTGGAGACGTTTAACATGGAGTTACTAGAGGTGTCCAGCACCGCTCTTTTTTGTCTGATCTGTTGTCATCAGGTAAAAGAGGTTTTCTATTTAATAGATAATGTCTTGTGTTTAAAAACCTCATATAGGCAGACTTAAAAATATCTAACCAAAATTCATGAAAATGTAGGAAATTAAAATGTGTTTTTTCAGTTCAGCATTGCCCTATGGTGTCTTTGTAATCTTTAGTGGAAATTAAGATCCTGAATAGGGCTACATCTGGAGCCAAAATAATTTTTGTAACTTTTCATTAAAACTGATTTTTGATTTTTATGTCAAATTAAAGACCAGATAAACTTTTATCCTTTTTATCTTTAAAAAATACTACATTTTTCAGTCAATACTTGAAGAAAAATTAGTTGATGAACTGAATTAACATTAAAATACCTAATATTGCTGGATCAAACTGGATTGAAGAACAGTATACATATATGATGAACCTCTCTACATTAGCAAGACATCAATAAAATATAGGATTAAATTTTGCTTGTATATACATTTACATGTATGGTACTTAAGAAACAAAACTTTTTCAATGATGAAATTGCTAGCTTCTGTTCAAGGCTTTATTCTTAAAGTAAGCTTTGCCAAACAGATGATGTAGAAACTAGAATTAAATGATTCTTAAAATTACGCTCTTCTTAGTGTACAAACTACAGACATTATCTTCTGTGACTTTTCTAACAGGATGGATACCGTGAACTTGTGAATCAGCTGTTACAGCATCAGACTGACCCTCAGTACCGAGAGCGACTCCTGGAGGCATTCACCAACCTCACCCCACCTTCCCTCAATATGACCATCAATAGAACCAGCAAAATAGCCTTCATGAGCAACTTTGGCAATTTCCTCATCAATGTGAGAGGATTCCTCTGTGTTAAATAACAAGTCATCATAGATTCTTTATCCAATACTTTAGTTACAGGCTGTAAATCTGCAGTGATACAAGAATACAGGAAAACCTCCTCTTTCCTATTATGTTTGGTAGTCAAGGCATAAATGTTTTTAGGGACCTAAGTGGTGTGATCAGGTTTTCATCTAATCAACTGCAAAGCATCATGGGTGCAGGCATTTGTTCCAATCATGGAGCATGGTCATGCAACTGTTATGTTATCCCAGTATTTCATTCAGGCATTTTTACCCATCTTGATGATGTCTTTCAATGATCAAGTATACACCAGATTTTTTTTGTATCATGAAAAATTTTTATCTCTTAAATGTTGTTGTGAAATGATGCTTACCATGACCTATCTATACATTTTATAAACAACCAATATGACCCAAGAACTATGCATTCTAAAGTGCTACATATCAAATGGTGCAAAATCTTCTTAAGAAGTTGAAACCAAATTTCAACATCGACTGTTTTATTTACGGTACAGTTTGATATAAACATACAAGGGGATATTCTTTGCACAGTCACTCTTTGTATCATTTATTTGCAATTCTTTTGTGTTCAAGAAATTTATATTAAGACTCAAAGGATTGGACGGAGCACTAGAAACAGTGCACAGGTCCAGTCATGTATTACAATATTCACTAGCTCTTACTTCAAAGTTTATTCCTTAAAAATGAGATTTATCTTTATTAAACCTATAAACATATTCTGTTTATTTTACTTGTATGCTGTAAAATTATTTAATTTTCTGGTCTTAAGTTTGTAATCTATTTATGAATTCTCTTGAGCTCAAGGTTCAATTGAGCTTTTCTGATGAATGTTTGTCTGGCTTTTGTTATCCTATTTTCATCTCCCTCTAGTACCACTGGGTCAATTCTCCCTCGAGTACATATACCTATGGGTCGATTCTCCCTCTGGTACCACTGGGTCAATTCTCCCTCTAGTACCACTGGGTCAGTTCTCCCTCAAGTACCACTGGGTCAATTCTCCCTCTAGTACCACTGGGTCAATTCTCCCTCTAGTACCACTGGGTCAGTTCTCCCTCAAGTACCACTGGGTCAATTCTCCCTCTAGTACCACTGGGTCAATTCTTCCTCTAGTACCACTGGGTCAGTTCTCCCTCTAGTACCACTGGGTCAATTCTCCCTCTAGTACCACTGGGTCAATTCTCCCTCTAGTACCACTGGGTCAGTTCTCCCTCTAGTACCACTGGGTCAGTTCTCCCTCTAGTACCACTGGGTCAATTCCAACCATACTTTCTCTAAAGCATTTTTGGAATAAGGGAAATTAAATCTGTTCACATGAAGGACTGATTTCTCAAAGGAAAGATAATCAATAAATGGTAAAAGTACACTAGTAAGTGATGGTCTAAAAAGGATTTCTCAAAAACAGCAAAATGTGAAAACTTTCCAAATGGTGTAGACTCAAATTTGGACAATTCATGGCATTCAGACTCAGGTAGGGCCATATTGAGCAGGTTGACTTTTTTCAGAAAAATATGTAGGAAAATTTATAAAATTCTGTTTCTAAAAGACAGCAGAACCAAATTTATTTATATTTATATGGAAACATCCTCGAGTAGTTCAACTTCAAATCTTTTAAAATTCTTGCCCTGCATGGCTAGAGTGGGGCAAATTTAGGGCTCAATGTTTTTTTATGAATTGATTTTGATCTCTACAGTTAATAGTTTTATTAATCTACACATTCTTTGATCAGAAAGGCAAAGGTTTCTCAGGTGAGTGTAGTGGCCAAAGGGCTTCTTGCTTTTTAGAAATGTGTCACTTTTTTTACAATTCCATTAGGCATAGCTTAAACTATTTTAAGTTGAAATTATCATTTCTATGTCTACAAGACTTCTTAGTTGAATTACATACAGAGATTTTAAGCTGATTATCACTGTACACAAAAAGTAGAAAATGGCATTCTTCCCCAGTGTATTTTTTGCATGAAGATCAAATGTAATATACATATATAAAATCATTTACCTACATATATAGTTGTTTTGTTATGTATTGCTTTCTAAGGAGTACTTCAGTAGGCTTATATAATATTTAGTGAACTATTGCTATCTTTCCCACCTTTGTTCGTTTGTAAATTTTTTAGCATTTTCAGTGTCTTGTGAGAAATGACTGAATCAATTATTATTTTGATACTGAATATCCACAAAAATATGACGGGTTGCTCAAGTCCATGGAGGTTATATTTCTTTGGACAGTCAGTAACAGACCTAATAATTGTTTTGTTTTATCTAGGACCAATAACTTTTTTAAAAAGAACCTACCGAGTTCAATTACATTTAAATGATTTTCTCGTTTGTGCAAATCTTCACACATTATCTTAATTGCTGTTTACTGAAAAGGGTGCTTCTCTGAATGTAAACGCAGCATTGCCAAATCGGTGAAGACGTAATGAATTTGTTGGTTTAAGAAGCAAATATAGTGCATGCATGATATTTTTTTCTCTTTAAACCTGGTTGACATAACGTTGCTGTATCCGCGATGTTGTCGCCCAAATTTTGCTACTCACTAGAACTACTGAAGGCAAGCAACTTGCAAGTTTGATTCGCAATTCAGCTTGAAATTAACCTATCCGCGAAGAATAAATTTCGCAACCCAGAAAAATTTCCACATATAAATGAACGTTATTTCGCAAAAGTCGTGAAACGCTAGTATATTTCTTGTGCGCGAATTAAAAGTTGGTTAACAATAGCATCTATAGATAAGATGGAGCAAAAACATTGGTATTTCATATTGAATGAAACAAAGTAAAATTGATTTCTGAAATTTGACCAGTAGAAGTACAAAATATATGATCTTTTAATCAAAAATATTGAATGGTCAACCAAAGTGTTCTTTTATTTGATTTTCTCTCATGTCAAGTTATTCAACAGTAATAGGAGGGGTCCAGTATTTTTTTGAAATACAGAAAACATTGCATTCATAACGAAACAGCATATTCACGCTTTAGTGACACGTGTATATATAACCATTATCAGAACTCTGACAACAGAAAATGTTGGTGTAAAAGATAATCTATTAGATGAATGCTATGGGATTTGATCTCTGTTCAGATAAGAAGTAAGCGATGCTTGACATGCTACATCCGTAAAAAAACAAGGTGGGATACGGACAGGTGATTAAATTAGGTCAGGCATCTTTGTCTACGTGTTACTTGTCCAACTCACAGTCAGGAATCGATTATATATCAATTCCTGATAATGCTCTTCATTAAAAACACCATACTAAACACATCCTGAGATACAGATCAACTGAGACTGTATGGAATACCTACCCCCTTTACTGCTTACTGATAATGGCTTGTTGTGATGTACCTATTCAGTGAGAGACCCTTTGTGCCAGGTTTTATGAATATGCTGTTAAAAACGTCACGAAAAAGAACTTTCAGCCCCCGGCCTAATTGTTTGCCATGCTTAGGAGAATTCCACTTAATTGTTTGTTGCAGTAGGTTTGTCAGTTTCCCGGAATTATCCATTGATGATGTGACGTTATTTAGTTGGGTTATGATAAATGGTTAGCAAACAATTGTCGACACCTGTCTTCATTAACTGATTGGAAAAAACAGGGGGTTTTTTGTATACAGATTTACCTATAGATGTGGTTTTCAAGGCAGTGGTAAAGTCAAATTTTATAATTATTTACATACTATAAAATACGTAGACTTTTAAAACTTTTTCTTAACATCATATTATCTTAAAATTTGGAAGACATATTTGAACAATGAATCTGAATAATTCAAAAGAATTTAATTATATCGTAATTCGATTATATCATGATACATGTATATATTGAAATATATTAAAATTATTTGAAATTGAAACTGCGAAAATACGGGTAGTTATTCACAAACAATGCACTATATTATGTTAATAGTCATATCTCTAGTAAATGGGGCTAAAACGAAACAAAATTTAAACATTCAATTTGGTATAATATCACCTCACATGCAAAATTGTGAGATAAAAATCAACAGAAAAAGACATTCTCACTGAATGTTGATCAGGAATAATCACAAAAATTTCTTACTTCTTATATCACTTAATTCCTTCCAGGTATGTTATTAGATCGATTTTGTCTTCAATTCTTTATTAATGAAAGCCAGTAACGAGCTATGTTACAGATCTATTTTCATTAAATGCGTGCAATAATTGACAGATCAGTTTATCCAAGACTTAAGCACGTTATCTTCAATAAGAATCAAGAGATTCTGTTCATTTATTTGTAGCTGGCGGACAGGTTATCCGATTGAAAAAAAATCTCTTCCTAGCTTAGTATCAGCAAAAGCCCCTTCTGGTACGATACATGTATTACTTAACTATTACTTAAGCATTGCTAATGGACAGGGAACATAAATAACATTATTAGAAACAAAAGCTTTAAGAATTTGTATCGGGAGAAAACCTTTTCGAACACGCATAGCTTTAATATCTTGTTTATTTCTTGTATCACTGGTAAGTTTATTGTGCTTTTGTTGAAAACCTTTGGATTTTATTGAAAACTTAAATGAGATAAAAGTGCAATGCTTCTTAGAAATGAAATGGTTTTTAAATTGTTATTACCATTCATTGCATTTCATACAGAATTCAAATTAATTTCAATGCATAATTACCATGGAATTTTTTTTGGCACTCTCACCCCCATTTATTAACCCACTTGCACATTAAATTAATATGGAGATTGCTTCACAGAAACTAATTTCATGAGCTAAACATCAATTGAATGTCATGATATATGAAATAACAAAATCCCATTCACATTGTCATCTCTCGACGTTGTATTTCATTTTCAAATAACTTATCAAACCAGTCAAATTAGATAGTTTTGATCGTAATAAACATGAAAAAAATATATATATTGTTTTGTTAATAGTATCATGAAGTTTTCAATTTTGTTGTCTTTATGGAGTAGTAAATCACTTAAAGTAATATTTTTGACATTGGATCCAACTCTTTTGGAAATGGTTCTGTATATACACTGTACATAAATGCAAGTTCCTCCATAGATATAATATGGTCACAACTGACAAACACATGCAGTGTAGTGTCAGTTTCCTGAGTACAAAACTAATAAAAGTATATTGTTCTTTTTTAATTGCTTAAGGGCCTACATGGAGGATCGTTTGGGGGAATTCGGTATTGTAAACACTGTACAGAAGAATCAGTTGTAGTCTTAAAACGAACCTTAAAAACATCTTTTTATAAAATGAATCATAGGATTAAGCGCACACGGTGCAAGGCCGACCAACATCTAAACTGTATTTCGAAAATTATCAAAGAACCAGAAATACTGGTGATCAATAAGGTGTACGAAACATACTGTTTAAGAAATAAAATATGAAGATAACGAACAGTATTCAATCTCGAAAGTCCAATGAAACGATACAAATTTGGAGCAGAGCAAACACGGACCTCAACATTTAGAGGTGGAATCAGGTGCCATGGAGGAGTGAGCATCCCCTGCCGACCGGTTACACCCGCTGTGTGCTCCTTGTCATGATCGGGAAAAAAACCCTGGAAAAATCCGTAGACAGTTCAGTATATAAGCAATGGCCTAACAATTAGTATGAAAAACGTCAGTCAGCATTTGACTCAATAATAGGTTGTATATATGTCTGACAAGGTCATTGTATCGACCATAAAACTTGCGAAATGATGAGTTGATATCCTTGTTTCATCAACTTGTTTGTCAATAGCTTGCCTCGTTTTAGAAATTGTCCATACGTAGAGCATGCTCTTGCGTATAATAGTCCGTAATTTTGCATATTTTTATATGTAAGCCAACAAGATTTTGTACTTTTTCAAATGTTTATTAAATCAACAGTCATCTTCTTTAATTCTGAAATCTCAACAGAGTACACCAATGTACACTTAATATACATAAGTCTTTATATTGTTTCAAAATATTGCTAAAGTCCAAACAAAACTTGTAAAATTGAGATAAGATTGTATATTGTTTTACGTCCCATTGGAGAATTTTTCACTCATATAGAGACGTCACCTTATACCGGTGAAGGGCTTCAAATTTTGACCTTTACTCGGCACTCAGGGCCATTGAGCAGTGAGGGATCTTTATCGTGCCAACGCCTGCCGTGACACGGGGCCTCGGTTTTTAAGGTCTCATCCGAAGGACCCGCAACTTTCACTTCAAAGTGCCGAGCGCATGGCGAAGGAACAGTTGCTACCCATTTTTTATCGACTTAGGTCAGTCGCGGCCGAGATTCGAACTCACGACCTCCCGATCACGGAGCGAGCGCTCTACCGACTGAGCTACCGTGAACGGTAATTGAGATAAGAACCAAAAAGTCCAAAAAGATATGAAGAGTTGAAATAATTAGAAGTTCAAGAAGAGCAAAGAAAGAAAAGCCCAAAGAGTGTTTTTTCCAGCAAACAGGGTAGTATATGCTCAGAATATATTGATGCCCCTAGGATTAAAAGTTTTGATTGACAGCGTTACCATTGCCTTGACACCAACCCTTGTTCGTAGTTCTGTCCGTTAACCAATAAACCCAAACATGGCACATCCCTCCAATCAAGATATACCCATGATTCTAATATTTATGGGCAAAGCAAACAAACGTATGACTTTGATGAATTTCCTCCTTAGAAAGGGAACTCTGCGAATATAAGTTGGATTACCACTTGCAGAATTAAATCGAAGTTGCAATATGTGGCGTTTTGTTTCAATGCAATACGATTGATGCGATGATCATGATTAAAATTAATGTGTGTTCTGCCCATTTATCTAAATCTAATTAAAATTAGATGTTCCGAATCCGCTACCGCTTCTCAAACGTTTGAGTAGCGGTAGCGATTTCGGAACATCTAATTTTAATTTGGTTAGTGACCAACTTTTCTCAGTAGTTCCATCAAATATATAACGTGGAACTGCCCATTTATTGCACATTTGATTTTGATAGGTAAATTATGTTATATTTTAGGAATGAAATAAAAATTAAGTCTGAATAAGATGTTTTGTAATGAAATCAGTGTTTTCAAAAAGACAAGGTCTTTAATTTTAATGTTGAAAGATCGCAATACATCTCAACTTAACGTAGTGTTAATTTGCTTTGTCCAAGATACTGTTAGATTCCTATTATCATGATTTGAATGTACGATTAGATGAAATATGAATATGACTCTGCGGTGTCTTTTATTTGGAGTTCAAAGGGATATATCGAATCAACTTATCATGGAAATGAATATTATTAATTACAGATAAAACGTCGTCGATATATATAAATGTCGAATTGAATACCACAGCAAGAGTCTTCTTCATTTTTTTTATATAAATCCTGCTTCAGATACATGCCAAAATAGGTCTGCTTAAAACGGGGCGCAATTAGTACCCATGCGAATTCCGACAAATTGTTGGAAGACTTGATATCTTCAAAAACTATACATAGATATTGTCAATTAGAAATTCAAGCACCTTTTAAATATCAACTTCGGAGTACTTGTTTCTTAACAAAATAATTTTGTAAATGACCAATGACAAGATATGCAAATTTACGAGTTCCGTTTTCATTGAAAAAAGCAGTCTACAATGACAGAAAATCCGGACTTTAATTTATCATGGGGAATGGTATAAAGAGTTCAAAAGCCGTACGTTTTGATGTTATTGATTTTGGAAAAAAATTGATTTTGAATTTTCTAAAAGATCCTTGGAGTTTTGAAGCATCCACATCTGATTTACACTACTTCTAGAATATACTGCAGCACAGTATGTACTCCTAAAGTTTCTCCTTCGCTCACTCAGCTGTTTTATATTTAGATGAGTAGTAAAGAAAAGTAGAACATTTACTAGAACTCTCTAGCTTTGTTTGTAAGGATTTTTATGTAGTTATGGAATCCAGTATAGGTATGGACATTCAAATTCAATTTGATGGTTGGAGATATTAAAAATATTTAAAACTAACGTATGACTTTGAAGAATTTCCTCCTTTGAAAGGAAACTCTGCGTATATAAGTTGGACTACCACTTGCAGAATTAATTCCAAGTAGCGATATGTGGAGTTTTGATACAATGCAATACGATTGATGCGATGATCATGATTAAAATTAATCATGTTGATCGTAGAAAAATGTTGACATTGTCACATACCATAGATTTTTCTACGATCAACAAGAATGGTACTACATGTACTCACTGAAAGATCTGATAAGATTTGATATGATCATCACGATCTGCGCATGATTAAGCCCATGATTTGTTGCAAATGTGATAGTGGGAAAACGTACGTAGTCCTTAGAAAAAAAAATAGTGAACAAACAACTATCAAGTAGAACAGCTCAGACATGAGCCTATGTTTAGTTAGCAGAAATGGACATTTTGTGAAGAATTATTTTTTATGCCCGAAATTTTCATGGAAAACTAAAGTTTTGAATCTCTTTGCAGTACTGTGAATTATAGGGAAAGGGCTTTGGGGGTTATTTAGTATACTATAGTAGCTTTTGATAATGAATTAATATTGCATAAAGATGAATAAGTAGATACACAATTGTCGAAGTTCAGACAAAATAAACATGTTATTGTAAAAGATTTTCTGACTTAATGAAAAAAAATCCTTCGGGATTGAATTGATCAGATTATATACATGTACCAGGGGAGATTGGAAGTAACTAATGTTAGACATACATAACATCTGTGAACAAGACAGTGAAATATGGATGGTCCTCAAATTAGGTAACATCCTTTTTCTTCAAGCGATTGTCCATTTTGCAATGGAAAATCAATAGCTATAGCAATTTCTGAAAAAGAAAAACATATTTATTTAATAATTGATTTATGACATTTGATCAGAATCAGAGGTCTACTGATTAACACTTTGTCACAAACCTATAATCTCTCGCCCGCACAGTCTATGACGTCGTGAAACGTAATAAATTGAGAAATATTCTCCTCTGTTATTATAAATATGCTTTTGGGAACGGAATAATAAACGGAGTTTATTGTTTGTCAGATTTGTGTGAATACCAATTACGTGGTTTGTCCATTTCCAGGATTTTTTTTTTAATTTGACAAGAACCACTGACGTCTGATAAATGGAAACAAACCATTGTCAGCAACCTCATTATCTTGTTAATTAGGAAAGCAGTTAGTTTTGGAAATACCTACATACATATGCTAATTACAAGCAATAGTTCTATCCTTTATGATCTGCGACAATCAAGAAATGCAACTCTCTCTCTCTCTCTCTCTCTCTCTCTCTCTAAGTTCTTATTTCACTTTTTTTGGTCCAAATGAGGTACAAAAATTTATACTTAAGCTAATTCAAAGCAGCATCAAAAGAAAATAAAAAAAATCAAATTTCACATTAAACAGAACTCCAATATTTGAAATAACATTGTTATAACTATTTTTCATGTCAAATGGTACGATAAGCACCAATCTATATAATTGTCAGCGGAGAAAAAAAGGGGCTACATATATATAATCCAATCTTTCTGCAAATGAAATAGCATTCAAGCATTCAATGTAAAGAGTGTAAAAAACCATCAAAATTCCACTTTTGCAATGTCATTAAATAATGAATTAAAAATAATATTAACAAAAAATGATAAATTATATTATGTAATGCAAGTCGTTAAAATAAATACAGAAGCTCTGTGAAATCACATGCAGTTGCTGTAAAACTTTCATATTGAGGAACGGGACCGCTTTTAAAAAATCTGCAAAAAATATGCAAAATGTTTACTTGTAATGCTATGGACAATCAAAGATTCCTTGTTCTGCTATGTACAAATGACAAATTTTAAAAGATGTCAGATATCAACATTTAATCATCTGAAAATAATAAAAAAAAAACAAGTGTGTCATCCTCTTCTTTTTAGTTATTAGAATATATTATATTTTCATGTATATTAGTTGAATCTGATTCGTCGAGAAACTTTTGTTAAAAAACACTATTACCCGCTGAATAATGAAGCCACGCCCTCCAGCGTAGCAACAGTTAACATTGCTTGACGACGGGTGATATTCCAAAAAATATTGACTGCGCAGAATTTATGCGCGCAAAGTTCACTGTAATATATGTTTTTGCATAAAACATTCAGTATAATAATATAATAAATACTGCATGTAGTTGAGTGTAAGATTGAAAATTTTCACCCATCGAAAACCATTGTCAGAAAATGGTTTTATATTGAAAATTTTTACCCCAAGAAAACCCGAGGTTGAGGATGGTTTTCGAGGGAAAATTTTCAATGTTACACTCAACTACATGCAATATTTATATACTGCTTCCTGTCTTTGTTGCCATTCTTAGGATGTGGGGCGGAGAGCGGGGCTTCTGGTTTTAACCTTCAATAATTATAGACTATTTTTGAAGATTGCAGGTATTAATTCTCTTTTTGAAGTTAATTCAAGTTAAAAGGGTTTGTTTTACATTTGCACATCTGATTCAAGAGTAATATTTCTCTCCGATTTTTCATAACTGCCCCTCAATAATGAATGTTTGCTAAAAGCTCCTTTAAATATCACTTTCATCTAATACACAAGCTGCCAGATAAACCAATTATTAGAATATAGATATCCGCACATGGTACCAAAATAAGCTAAAAAAAAAAATTCTGTTCATTAACTTCCATTAAAATCAGGAGAATAATTCTTCCCAGCTGCACAACAAGAATGATAGCTCTTTGTTATGGATGATGCACGTATAATACATAACTATTACCCGATTTACTACAAATGGATAGAGACTAAACACTAGAATTTATAATAAACTCTATCTTTAATGAAAAACATTTCGAACACACTGTTGTCTTTATTTATTGCCTTCAGTCCCAGCCTTGTCCTTGTACAAGTATATAGCTGCAGGATTTATTCTCCTTTTGTTGAAAACCCTGATTTTCATGGAAAATTTAAAAGACGTCGGGATGTATTCTTCACACGCTTCTCTAAATTTAGAAATGTAAATGAAATAAATAATTGGATTTACTGCACATTTTACAAAACCGATCCATATCAAAATGGTACTTCGAACACACTCGTAAGAACCGGTGATATTGCTAATCATTAGATTAATGCCATAGGGTGTCCAGCAAATTGTTAAGGCAATAAACAATATCAGTATTGTTTTGAAAGATCTAGTCTTAAAATGAATATCTATATGTGAATTTTTCTTCCTATGAATTATGGGTAATCCTAGTTTTCCATTGCTGATAGTAACGCTAACATGAGAATCCAACTCAGGGCAGTTCCGAATGCGCAATGCATCTCTTCGTACTTTATGAATAATCCCAAAGTAGGAAAAACCCATGGCAATGATGGGAAAGAAATTAATAAAACAAATTTTCAATATCAAATAAATCAATTCAAAATTGCTACTATGAATTCCATAGATGCATTGCGAGTGCCTTGGGTAAAATTTGTATTTACCCCAACCAATCAGCGGCGGAAACGTCAAAAGAATCGATAATCCCCATGACAAAACTGTCAGAATCTTGGCATGCGCAGTGGTGAGTTTGTCACGACGTTTGACAATGATTCGGTAACGATCCATGCTAATAGTAAGAAGAGTCAAAATTCCAGTTGACACAAATGTTTCCTGGAGAAAGGCAAATATCTGACACGGGACGGTGTCAATGATCTTGTCCTCCGAGAATAGCATCAGTATTTTAGGAGGCATGCAGACTGCTGATAAAAAAATATCTGTCAATGCCATATTGGCCAGCAAGATATTGATAGCTGATCTCATGGCGGGATTTTTGTAAACAATTAAGCAGACGATTAAATTTCCCACACATCCGATAACGATCACGAAAACCAGGAGAATGGTCAAAGTAGCCTTAAGAACCAAGGGAAGCGACTCCTCTTGACCTTGAAACGTCAAAGCAGTATAATTTAGGTCAATGATGACGTCACTTAAGATAGTGGAAGTGCGTCCAGCATTCATCCGTCAAGTGCAGTTGATGCAACTCTCGGTGTTTTTGTTGGTTACCAGGTTCTGATAAATATTAGGTCTTCATTTTTATATTTTTCTGTCAAAATAAAGGAGATTAGTAATCAGGCTGTTCGATTTGTTTTCTGGTAAAACATTTGTAAATGCGTGTATATGTTAATTTAACACAATAATCATATCGTATTATTGGATATTCAAACTAACAATCCTTATTTGTCAAGAAACAGTGTTCAATTTGTATTATAATATTATCATCATACTAAAAATATCGCCAATAGAATGCATTAGAAGTAGAAATGAATGAAAGTATATCGGATACATGTAGTTTTTTTTCTTCCTTTTTTCATCATTCAACAATTAAAAAAATGAAGGTTAATATCTAAGAAAAAATGAGTGGATTCAATCATATATATCTTACCATAACCTTTCCTTTTCAAACTCAAAAGAAAGTACTTGTATATGCTTTCAAACGACCTGATGCTAGCTGCTGAAAAATTTTGCTTTATACTATTTATTTTAACTCTTAAAACGATCTTGATGTTGCTTTCTTCTAAAGAACAAAGCAAACAAACAAACAAAAGAAAAAAAAAAGAAAAAAAAGAAAGAAAGAAAACAAACAAACACACAAAAAAGAATTTGCTTCTTTGATTGACAGAATTATGTGTACAAACTTAACAAGTTTTCCTTTTGGGTAAAATTTCCTCTTTTACATGAATAGCAACAAAAATAATAATTCGGGATGATTTAAATGCATCCTCGATTCATTTTAAACACAAACTAAACTCCTGCAAATAATAAATATGAACAAAATAATTATTGACAATGTAAAGAGAATATTGTTGTTTTTTTTTTATTTGGAAACAATGCTTGTAATTCAAATAAAGATCACCCTTTCTGTGGTCTCTATGAAAGTATGGAAATACATGAAAATACACTGGATGAAGAGAGTATTCACTTGTTTTACATGTACTAATGTATAATTCCTTAATTAGAAAGAGAACATATACATTGTATTAGGCTTTTAGCCTGCTGTTCAATCGTATTCAATTTTGATTGTGATATTTATTAAATTAAATATTCTGGATTAATTTTTTTTAATATATTTTTTTTTTGTAAAATGACAACAATCCTTACCCATTATACATGTATTCTTTAAAACGTTAACTTATTTCAAAACATACTGATGTCACTGGTTCCTTAATACGAAACAGGGTTCTAGGAAATGCAATGAATATTTCTAATAATGAACACTGAAGATTACAATGCATATTAAAAATACCGTCGTTAATAAGGATTCTTAAAATCTAAGACGGATCTTACCTGCTTTAGAAATTCTTTAAATATTCCGCTATCACATTACACTTTGGATGTGTGTCTTACCTCAGTTTCTTTACAGCTGTTAGAATCAGTCACGTATTAATTCCACTGTCATTCCACGCAAGGAGACAATCTCCAGATCAAGTGCTGAGTAAATACCGAGAGTATTGATGTATCATCTATTGGACAGAATATGACGGTTATAAACACAGCCTCATGCACGGAATTACCTTCAACAGGTGCCCTAGCCAGCTAATTATGACCGGTGTTTATCTCGAATGCACCTGAAATACATAGACCGATATAGAAATGAGAGATAATGTCTGAATAATTACATCATATTTTGGACAATGTATATATATTATCAAATACTCCCTCGTCTTAAATGAAAAATGAATGCAAAGGTCTTGTAATTCTCCAAGACCCTTGGCACAGCTGCAGGATAGCATTTGATCATGTGACACACTTTAAGAGCCTTTGCAATTGCATTCAATTTTCATAAATGCATCATATGGTGGCATATTTTTACCCCTTCACAGTCTCATAGCAACAGTTTTACAGTGGGGGGGGGGGCAACTTCCCCAAAAAATCTTAACCCCCCCCCCAAAAAAAACTAATTCAGAGAATTTGTGTCCCCCGCTTAAGAAAAAATGAAGGAAGTGGAAAAACTGGAAAAATTTTGGAGATGGAGAAAGAAAAAAGGTCATCCTTGACCTTTCAGCTTTTGTCCTTAAAATCAATAGAGGTCTTTTTAAAGTTAAAGAAATTCATGACCGAAAGTTTCAATGCAAAAGCTTACAGAAAAACTAAAATTACATCTGAAAACTATATATGCAAGAGATATTTCTGATCTTGACCTTTGGATCTTTGGGTTTTTTGAAGGTCATAGGGAGGTGTGATATAAAATTTCAATGCAAAATCTCAGTCTTTTTAAGATATCGTTTGGCAAAAAGTTTTACACAGTCAGAATGTATCAATTTATGACCTTGACCTCTGACCTTTTGACCTCAAAATCGATAGGGTTCTTCCTTTATACAATAGGGAGCTATGATATTAAATTTCATTACAAAAGCTCAAAGCTTCTTGAGATATCATCATCGAAGAAAGCCCAAGTAAAACTAAAGCTATCATCCAGAAAATGTTATTTGCAATGTACAAATTTATGACCTTTGATCTTATGACCTTAAAATGACAAGGGGTCTTCTTTAGGCCATTAGGAGTTGTGATATAAAAAATTTCATTGCCAAAACTCAAAGACTTTTGAAGATATTGCCCGGAAACGAAAGTGTTACAAACAAACAAAATGAATAAATTTATGACTTAGACATTTGACATTTTGACTTCAAAATCAATGGGGTCTTCTTTAGGCCACTGGGAGTAGTGGTATAAAATTTCATTGCAAAGCTCAAAGGTTTCTTGGTATATCATCTGGAAATGAAAGTGTTATGTACACACAAACAGAATGTTTGAATATATGACTTTGACCTAAGAAACAATAGGAGTTTTCTTAAGGCCATAGGGAGTTATTGTATAAAATATCATTGCAAAAGTTCAAAGGCCTCTTGAGATATCGCCGGAAACGAAAGTGTTACACAAAGAATGTTTGAATTTATCACCTTTGACTTTTTGAACTCAAAATCAATAGGGATCTTCTTTAGGCCATGAGATGTGATATAAAAAAATCAGTACAAGAGCTCAAACACTTAAAGATATTCCCGGAAACGAATGTTTTACAAACAGAATCAATAAATTTATGATCTTTGACCTTTTGACCTCGAAACCAATAGGTAATTTCTTTAGGCCAAAGCGAGTTGTGATATAAAATTTCATTGCAAAAGCTCAAAGGTTTCTCGAGATATCGCCCAGAACACAAACAGAATGTATCAATTTATGACCTTGACCTTTGAACTTTTGACCTAAAAATCAAATCTTCTTTAGGTCATACAAGGTTGTGATATAAAATCTCCTTGCAAAAGCTCAAAGGCTTCTTGAGATATCGTCCAAAAGTGTTACACACACAGAAATACAGCTGGACAGACAGATGGGCGGACGGATAGACAGACCCAGAATATCATAACCCACTTTCAATGAAGGCGGGGGACAAAAAATCTATTATGTCTTAACTATTTCGGTGGTGGGATGGACCTTTCTCTTACTTTTTTTGGTACTTTTTTGGAAATCATGGAAGTTTTGAATTTGCCAGTGCTCGACCTTACAGCAACAAAACGGGAGGAAAGAGGTGGGGTGAACCAGCATCGAGTTGAAAATTAACTGTAGCAAAATTAGGAGAAAGTGGGGGTGGGATGGAGTAGGGGGCACTGCTTTCTACGGGCCTGCTAAATGCAAGATAAATTAGCATGCAAAGATATACGTCAACATGCAAGAAAATTATGTCTGCGTGAAAGAAAATTATATTGACATGCAAGCTACCAATCTTTTTAGAGAATCTGGTTTAAATATGGGTGAATTTACTCATAAACGGCAGTATCTGAGATCAAACATGTAAGATGCAGTATACTTATGTTGACACGCGACTTATTTACGTCGAAAGGAAACTTATTTATGTCATCATGCAAATCATATTAACATGCTATTTATGTCAACATATGCGAAATAATTATGTTGATATGCGACTTATTTATGCCAACATAATTATGTAGACACGCGACTTATTTATGAAGACATGCAACTTATTTGCGAGATAGTTATGTAGACAAGCCAGTCAATTATGTCAACATGTGAGATAGTTACTAATATGTTGTCATGCGACTTATAATCTTTGCATATTGACATAAATATAACATAGTTAACTTGCATGTCAGTAAACATTTCATAAATAACTCGCATGTTGACAAAAATAAGTCGAATGTCAACATAATTAACTCGCGTATCAACATAGATAAATGGCATGTCTACATAATTATCACGCATTTTGACATAAATAAGTCGCATGTCAACATGATTATGTTGCATATTGCACGTACGTTGTCAGGTACTGGTGTTAGTAAGTAAACTCATCCATAATATCAGCTAGATTCTCTTAAAAGATTAGGAACTTGCATGTCAACATAATTATCTTGCTGATGACACACTTTTGCATGTTGACAATTTATTTTGCATGTAGGAGGCAGAAATATGTCATCTCCCGTTTTGAGTGAAAAGAGAATAGGCCTTGTAATTATCAACTAGTAAGGCATTGGGTATTTTTTTCGCCCATTACATAACTTACACGACGAATTTGGTGTTTTGATCACTCCTGAAATTTAAAACTGAAACTTTCAATATTGCCGAATTGAACACATACAAAAGTTCTAGTTTATTGATCCTTTATATGAATAAAACTTCAGCATGTTCTGAAAAGATCTTCCTAAACTTTCCATAGTCTTTCCTCATTATGACAAACGTTGCATTAATCACTGTTAATCAAAAAGCGTCCTTGCCCAGTTTGTCAGAGAGTGAGGGGGATTTGACAGGCAATTAATGATGTATAACTGCAAATTATGAATTTATTGTAAATCCATAACCCAAACTCACTGAGAATTAGATATTGTAAGATGAACAGGACTCCACAGAACTCTTAATCTGGCCTAAAACTTGACAAATAAAAAAACTAAAGCTTGCAATATAGCTGTATTCCTCGACTATGAATAAACACAGTCCTATTTCGTTGAGTCTTTGAAGAGAACTATTACTGCTGCCTGTCTATGAAAGAAGCCAGCTTAGCTTGCTTAATCTTTTCTTATGTCATTACTGCCTCAACTTGTTTTGCTGACATTTTTCCTGTTAACTTTTCATAACAACTAGAACAACAGTGCCCATACCTACTGGGGAAAAGTTACTTTTATAAAACTAAAAAAAGAATTGTCTCCCCTAACAAAAAGTCAGAATTCAAAAAAATTCATATTCTGTCTACTTGCAAATCTAGCTTATAAGTTTCCCATCAATTATGCAATCTTGACACTTGATAATAACTAATCCACAGGAATGGTAGTATTAAAATGTTGTCCTAGAAATACAACGTAACAAAGCCTGCCCCCAAACCAGTTTCCAATCATTTGTATACCATTTCCAAGGATTCAAAATGAAAAGCATATCATTAGGGATGACATGTACAGGCATATTAATAAATGCCACAAAGTAATATGACTAATATATAAACAAATCACTCATCTAAAGCAAAAATGTAAAACAAAAGATTTACTTTGCAATTCAAGTTTTTATTTTCAGATTGGTGTATATATTGGGACATTTACAAAAGCATAAATAAAATTCAATAACAACTCCACAAAATTTGATCACGTTCATTCGGCATAAATCAACCACCTCATGCAAGTATTCCTTCATGATAAGTTTTCAGACATTCCTCAATGATGAAAAATACTGTAAATATAAAATATTCAAAGAATTTCTAAGCCAGACTTTGCCAACAAAATTTTTTGGCATGGCCCCATATAATCATTAACATAAAGATATCAAAAATAGCACACAATATTGGTTTTTACTGCCAGTATCTGACACTGTGAAACTTGAGTCATAAGTTATGAAATCCAATATTGCAACTCGATTCATGTGTCTACATTAACATGAAGATTTGTTGATGAGGTTGATGAATTCTGAACACATTTAATCTTGGTGACAACCATTATGAGATGGTGTGGGCCAGCGTTGTTATTAATTGTCTAATTAGGATTATCTATGCATTAATCTGGATTAATCTTCATCCCAATCTTTGTTCTCCTTAGGTTTGGGACCACCTGCAGCTTTAGCCATAATGATCTGAAAAAAACACACACAAAATCTTAATTCATGCAAAGATTTGAACATACATGTATGTCAAACAGATTGGACACAAGTTCCAAAAACTTAGGTAGTATCCTCATAAAATGTATGTAAAATAAAATGGATTTTCCTGATGAAAAGCTTGATCTAGATGAATGTATATCTAGACTAATGCTCAATGATCAGAAATTTTACATGCTGACAATATTGCAATCATTCTATCAAAACAATGAAAATTACATATTTCTTTATCACACCATTTATATTTTCACAATTGCAGTAACAAGTTAAAATACTAATTAAATTCATGACTTACCTGGTCCACTTTGAGAACAGTACAAGCAGCTGTTGTGGCGTACTTCAGTCCCCAGTATTTATTGATGTACAGATCTTGAATTCCAGTTTCCAGTGCATCCCTCACTCCTACTGGCACTGACTGAAATTAAAGATAACATTTACAGTCCAATATTTAAAAGAAGACAGTGTACATTGTCTTAGCCCCTGCTGTCTATAAATGTTTCCTCTGTATAATATGCCATTATTCTTTTAAGACACCACTCCCTCAGCACCACTTCTCCATAAGTATACACAAACGTCTCCTTAGGAGTGAAAATTTCTTGCAAAGGATGTAAAACAACAATCAATCAACAATCCTTAAGCACCCCAGGCACCAGGAGTAGCTGTATTTGTCACAGGCTTCCAGTAATAAGAATCTTCTGAACTAAGTATTTTTCAATCTATTTCTTCATAATGATATGATACAAATGCTTTTAGGAAGTAAAATGTTCAACATACCTCCACATCTACTCCAACACTCTTCTTTCCTTCTTGATGAGCTGCATAAAGTTTGGACAGAACTTCTGTGCCCTGTGGAAAAAGATGTACATGTAATATGTTCTGAAGGTATATTTACTACTACTGCAAATAAATCTATGTTAAAAAGGAAGATATGATATTTTAGAGATTTTTTTTTCCAAGTCCATTCAAGGTGACCTTAGAAGTAATTCAATGCTCTACCTTAGCTCCTGCATTCTCTGCCAAGGCCTTGGGAATGACTTCTAGTGCCTCAGCAAATTTCACAATGGAATATTGCTCAAGTCCTGGACAACTCTGAATAAAAAAAAAATACCAAGGTCATTTTTAAGTTGATCAATTCAAGTTCAATTTGCTTGATAGTCTAGTATAAGAACCAACAGATGAACAACTTACTACTCTGAAAGCACCGATTTGTTTTGATAGACTAGTATAAGAACAACTTACTTCTCCATAAGAACTGATTTGTTTTGATGGACTAGTATAAGAACAACTTACTTCTCCATAAGAACTGATTTGCTTTGATAGACTAGTATAAGAACAACTTACTTCTCCATAAGAATTGATTTGTTTTGATGGACTAGTATAAGAACAACTTACTTCTCCATAAGAACTGATTTGCTTTGATAGACTAGTATAAGAACAACTTACTTCTCCATAAGAACTGATTTGTTTAGCAAGTTCTATTTCTGTGGCACCTGCCCCCGGAACCATTCTGGAATCCTGAAACAATCATTTTCTAACAGTTTATGGGAACATCAAAATATTTTCTCTGATCCAACATTATACTCAATTTTATTAAAAGCATAAAAAATCAAACTATATTTTCATCTTCAGGTTCACATACAATTGTGTTGAATTCAAATGTATCTAAACTTGCAAATGGATGTATGCAAATCCAGAAAGTGCTAAAAATGAAATTTGGAAACTGTGCATTTTCTCTTGCGATTATATATACTGTGTAACATCAACTTTTCACTACCTATTGATCTATATATAGGTTCTCCAAGAAAACAACTACCTGACACTTTTGATATAGACTGTATTTACTGACTGCTAATAAAATCTGAGGTCCTTACCTTGGTTAGAGCTTTGAATGTGTTGACCCCGTCATCTATAGCTCTCTCTATATCATCAATGACATTGTCAGTCGATCCTCGAATAACAATGGTGGCTACGGCACTTTCCTCTGCATCTGTAATTAACCAAGACAAAATTATTTATCTTGCTCTTTTGCTTTATATCTAGGCTATGATTAATGCAATACTTTAGGCAAAATCAGATTATGTGCTGTCCAGACATGGATCAAATTTAAACAAGAAATCTGAGAATCAAATTTATGACTTCTCTGTAATTGAAATGCTTAAGGGAATACAGTATATATTGTTTGTATTATCCTTCCAACAAATTCATCAAATTTGCTTGTAATTACATGTTAAAGGATTCCATCTTTTTTTTTATGGATTGCATCTTGCTTCTTCAGTGAAATTTATTCCCCATGAAAATACAGAGCTATAACCTTATCTTGTGAACTTACCTTGCTTAAAAATAATAACAGAGGTGTCCCCTATCTCATCTACATAGACTTTGTCACAGTAACCTGCCTCATCTGCAGTGGGTGGGGTCTGAAAATGTCAAAATAAAGTTTAACATACCTCTAAAAGAAGTCCATTAAAAATCATTTCCTTTAAAAATCTGATTCCCTATCAACCATACTAGCCTTCAACAGAAGGGGGGGGGGGCATAAATTGAACAAATCTGAATCAGAAACACACACATTTAAGTATGCTTGCGTTTGTCATTTGATAATTATGGCCCTTTAGCTCTCAGCAAGACTTTTTTTCTATATAACTGTATTTGCTAAAAGTTAAAACTTTGACCCCTTCCATGGCTCCATTTTAGCTCATACTGCCATGAATTAAACAAACCCAAATCTAACATGTATGTATACAGTGATGTTTGCACACTGATTTAATGATTTATGACTCTGCTGGTCATGAAGAAAGGCTTTTAAAAAGATTTTCTTCCGAAGTGTTGCTAGGTATAAAACTTTGACACCCTTTTCTTCTTATCCTAACCTAGCCCTGGTGTCATAATTTGACCAAAATTGAATCTCCACAAATCATGTAGCTTTCACATGTGTCTTCTCTTGTCCAGTAGTCTTGATATTTAAGATTTTTAAATAACCCCAGCCTATTTTCACCTCATACTTCTTCATAATCTTCCTATAAACTTGAATTATTTTTAAACCAAAGATGCTTTATTGCAAATTTGGTTGAAAATGGCTAAAAGCTTCTAGTGTTTTTTCAAAAGAAAAGTGACTTACAATTCTAGGTAGTGGAGTGGCCCCCACTGAGCGACACAGGCGTCGTAGATCCCACTTGGACATCAGACGGACCACAAGGAGTTTATATTTATTACAGAAATGCTGGGCCAGTTCTCCAACCTTACCCCCGGCCACCACCACTGTACAACCAGAATCTGCGATGGCCTTAATTTGCTGCAGAAAGATGTTTCTAGGTTAACTAATATGTAAACATCCTAAGGACATAGAATACATGAGAAAAATGTCGAAATCTGTTCAAATTGCTTTATCCAACATATTCCTTTAAAACCATCTTTCTTCTACATGGTCCTATGGATGTCTTAAAGGAACTTTTTCTGTGTTGACTGTAATCAGAGGGAAATGTTACTTTCACTTTACGATTTCTGTTTATTCTTCTTACATTGTTTAATTGTTCTAATACTCTGACCCCTGATAATCAGCTACTGACCTCCTCTACTTGGTTTTCTTCTCCTTTACTGAAATTCATCAGTTCATCTGCTGATTTGATTATTATTGTTCCCTGCAATGAGACAACATTTCTTAATTATTTTCCATAACAGCGCTTTTGTTGACAATCAGTACTTTTGCTCAGTTTTTTTGAAGATTGCCCATATCTTCCTTTGGTATTTTAATTTCTAGAATGTAAGGGTGCATGCACTTAAAAATCAAACTGCAAGTGCAATAAAATAAATTAAAAGTATTTTTTTCTCTAACCTACAACATTCAAAATTCAAATGTACAATTTACAAGTGTTTCCTACTCCTTATTTTGTCAGAGGATGCAAGGAAATAACAATCAAGAATACATTCAAATACTGTAAAACGACTTTTATTTGCGTTTGAGAAATATCCGCAAGTTTCACAACTTTGTTTTATTTGAGAATATTTCTCGCCCAAACTATTTATTTTGTTGTGTATATGTGTAAAATATTTCCTCATTTGCAAAAATAAGTACTTGTGGATTAATTTTAAACTGACAAATCACAAATAAAAGTCATTACGAATCAGTGTTTTCCCTTTATTCCAAAGTAAAGGGTTAGATATCAGTTGTAACAGCTAGGCTTTGGGTTGAAGTTTATGAAAAATCTCTGTGGACCTTACTACATTTAAATTTCAATTTTTTTATTACAAAGTGGCGTTTTTATCAATTGAAGCGGTCAATTTGGCCGGTTCTTCGGGAAAACACTGCGAATATTAGTTGGTTCACAGTATCCTGAATGACTGAAATGTCATCTATTAAATCTCACCTTAGTCTCTGTTTGTAGGACATCCAAGGGACATGAATACACAGCAATTTTACATTTGTCAGCCTTGGTTAACTCCCCTTCTACATCCCTTTTAAACACCATACCCTGTATTACTTCTGATTGGTGAACTCCTGACCCCTGTAATATCCAATCATCACGCTAAGTTACTGTTTTCTCATGCATGATCCTAAGTTATACACATTTTGCTTCACAGAACACATGGAATTTAATATATAATAATTAAATGATCTTACCAGGATTTTAGATACTCTAACATTGTCTACATTAAATGCCAACTTCTTTGAAAGGACAGACACTAAAACAAAATAAAACATTTCAATTATGGCTATTCTTACATTCAGATACATTTACATGTACAGGAAGAGTACAAATGACAGTAAAAGTTAAATTCATAGACCTTTTAAAAATGAATATTCTTCTCCCTAAGTCATATATGTATGTGTCAAAATAACAGAATCTACTTTCAGAGGATATACATGTGTCATAAAAATATTTGCCAACATCAAGACTCATTTCCTACAAAAACGTGTCACTTGCATAGTCCTGCATGAACTTGTTCGAGTCTCTACAGACAGACAGGCAAATTATTAGAACATACTCTCTTTCATTTCTTCTACACATACTATTAATTGTTAGTGTAAACTGGCAGAAATCTACACTTACAGCAAGCATCAGTAATTAGACCAGCAAGGAAGTCCTCATTGCCATACTGCTTACTCATTACAGCCGTTCTAATGGCGGTTGCTACCCCCTCTTTATCTCTCAGGTTCTTCTGCTCGGTACACACCAACCCTACATACAAAAATACACTGGTCAAACAGGTGTAAATTAATGAGGGCCACACTTGTTATAACTACTCACACACAATGATGTCATATAGTACAAACTATATAAATCAACTTTTTATTTATTTTTTTTACTTAGGTTGAATACATCAAGAATAATTGATATACACTCCTTTAAAAGGACATGAAGATGAAAAAAATTGTACCAATGAATTTAAAAGACAATTTTTTTTTGGTCAATAGTTTTGTTATACATATGTAAATGGAAACTTGATGTATTAAGGGTATCCATTACCTGGGAGAATGTCTAGGGCTTTCTTTAGAGCCAGTTCATATCCCTCTGAAACTTCTGTCACCGAGAGTCCCTAATGTAACAGGGAAAAACAGTTGTTCATATAAAAAATGCAAATTACGTAGTTCTCCATGGCATTTAAACACACTGTTTAACAAGTAATTTTTAAAGCCTGATTCTTATTTGTTCTAATTCTTCTAAAGGCTTTTCTAGTAAATAAGCTGTGCTGAAGATAGAGGATTATTATTTTTTTTTTATTACTGAACATTGGTCAACTGCAAAAAATTACCTGAAGTTATAGCATGTTGGAAAATTACATTCAAAAGGGTCTTAACATTAAAATTGTATCTCCACATTAGAATCATAATTCTCTTGATATGTGATAGGGTAATTCTACACCTGTGTTGCAAGATTAGACCAAGGTCAAATTGAATCAGTCATACAAACATCTGTACTTAACTAATAGTTTGAACTTTCATTAAAGATTCATGTAATATTCATTAATGAAACAAAATTTCAATACAAATCTGCAAGACCAACTTCAAAAAATGCTTAGCTGGAAAGTTTCTGTGTCATATTTTGCATAAGAAGTAGTCTTGAATAACATCCTTTAAAAATATGTTAAAAGAAAACCAGTTTGGCTGAAAAAATGTTCTCAGAATAATTGGC